AAAAGTTTTGTATATTACTTACATTTAAGAAAACGTCTATTGTCTGCACTTTAGACGGGAAGAAACTAAGGCTTATAAAGGTAAGCAAAGTTGCCTAAAGTCATGTAGCAAGTTAGTAGTGAGACTGAAACTTCACAGTGCTGCCTGTTTGGAGGGAATGACATATACTGGAGCCTCAGGGGCAGATTCTGTGAGGGCCAAAACCAGAAGGCAACCTAGGCTTCCCTGGTATTCAGAAGACAAAGAAGCTGAGACAGCTCAGAAAGCAAGATGAGATACAGTGGTTGGCCGAGGGTCCTCCTGGCATCCCACAGACACCTGACAATTAACTAACCCATTCTCCATGAAGCCCAGGCTGGGTGCTAAGGATGCAGGTTTATCTGTGCCTTCCCAGTCTTCAAAGAGTCAATGGTTTTGCTTCTATCTCTGAGATGTCCGTTCAGAAGGAGACTAATTTTAATGTCTACAGAATCTCAACGTCTACCATACCTGCTCATGTTCAGTGAAAGTTATTCTAATTTAGCCTTTTCAGTACAGCTGAGTAACACCCACCCAAATCCTGCTGCTCCTCTGCAATAGAACAGTAAGTAGGAGGGGTAGAAGACTGTGGAAGCAGCAAAGAGACCTAATCAGTTACCCATTCCAGACACATCTGCGGCATACCTGTGATAGTAATGGAGCTATACTGGATGTCACGGGGTACACATGAGTCCGTTCTTGGATTCAAAGGGTTATCTTATGAAGAAAAATAATTAACAGCACATAACCCTTAAGATGATGTTATATACACCTGTAGTGTTCTAAGTGCTTTACATTCAGTCCTCACAACTGATCTGTGAGGTATTACTATTATCACCAAATAGCTAAATCATAGAAACAGGATTACACGTACTAGCAAAGGCAAGGCAGGATCAGCACCCAAGCAATCTGGCTCCAAAGGCCACCGTGCTCTTACCTGCTGCACTCTGCTGGGGCTAAATGTCAGCTTTCAGACAGGGGGATTCACCTGACTGACTCAGTCAACACGAGATTCCCCCACCCTCACTTCCTATCAATGTGCTGCAAAGTGCATGGGCTTTTAAATCAGGTATGGGGTCAACTCTAGGCCTGAGAACAATACTGCTTGGCCTCAGCTTGCACATTTCTAAACTGGTCATAATAAAAAGTGGGCTATTCTGAGATTCAATGAGATGACGTGCATAGTTGACCTTCAGTATTTGTTTACTCACGGTCAAATTCCATCTTTGTTCAGCTCAGTGTTTTCCCAGCTACTTCCTGTCCCTTGTCTACAGGTAGAGAGATGCAAGAAGGAAAGGGGGACAAGAACAGGAGAGGGAAACATGGCTTCAACCTTGCCGGGTTTCCTCTCTGAAACACTCAACACAGCCCTGGAGACTCCCGAAGGTATCTCTGTCCTGCATCTGCAGAAGCTTTTCCAGTTTAGAGTACACACCAGAAAGGTGGACGAGAGGTTGCTGAACCAAGAAAATACACATAGGGCAAATGGTTAGTAATCTGTACTATCTCAGCAGACAACGAGAAAAAGAAGAAACAGAAAATTTATTGACACTTTTGTTCTAAATGCTCACATACAAAGATTTCACTTCACCTTGTAGTTTTAGAAACATTCTGGACATGTCAAATAAACTCTTGAACTTTAAAATAAAAGAAGATTGACTGGAGTGCATGTTTGGGAGGGGAGCGAAGGGGTGGGATAATTCAGGAGAAAAGAAAAAGTACTGAGTTTAAAGCAGCTGTTGCTCTAGGCTCCCCCTCCCTGCCTCCACACCCGTGCCCCAGGATTCAGGGTTCTCACCAAGACAGGAGCCTCAGATGCTGCTCCTGGGAAGGTATATCTGCCTCAGCTCCACCCTACTCTACTAAAAATCACTGCCTCAAAGGCTCTCGCCTTAAAAAAGATTTTCAGTTCAAAAGACTACAATAGCCATATGTTAATATTCTTCTATTTTTCTTTCTTTTTGGTACCAGGAATCAAACTTATGACCTCATGCTTGCCAGGCAGGCACTGTACCACTGAGCTGTATCCCCGGCCCTGTTCTTCTAATTATTTATTAATAATAAAATGCAAGTAAAAACTACTAAAATGTCATTATATGCATCCCTTTTCTTCTTTGTTTTACAGTGCTGGGGGAACAAACCCAGGGCTTTGCACATAACTAAGCAAGTACTCTGTTACTGGGTACATCCAACCCTGGTATCATCTCTGTTTGTGGGTTGTTTTATTTTGTTTTCTTGACACAGGGTCTGGCTATTTAGTTCAGGCTGGTCTTGAACTCACTATGTAACCTGAGCTCGCCTCAAACTACAGTGATCCATCTCCCTCAGCTTTCTGAGTGCTGGGATGTGTGGCTTACACACTTTTTAAGGTACAAATTCTTTTTTTTTTGTTTTTGTTTTTGTTTTTCTCCGGTACCGGGAACCGAACTCACGACCTTGCGCTTGCCAGGCAGGTGCTTTTTCCGCTGAGCTAAATCCCCAGCCCCTAAGGTACAAATTCTTACAATACCTTGTGATGATAAAACTGAAATGGTTTTATGAATTCTGTTGGTAGCATTATAAACTGGTACTTTTTTTTTTTTTTTTTGAGAAAGGGTCTCGCTGGGTGTGGTGGTACATGCCTTTAATTCCAACATTCGGGAGGCTGAGGCAGGAGGATTGGTGTGAGTTCAAGACCAGCATGGGCTACATAGAGAGACTCTGTCTTGAGAGAGAGAGAGAGAGAGAGAGAGAGAGAGAGAGAGAGAGAGAAAGAAAGTGAGAGAGAGGGGGAGAGAGAGAGAGGGTGCGAAGGAGAGAAGGAGGAAGGGAGGGAGGGAGGAAGGGTCTCAATAAGCTAATACATCTTACTTGTCAATAAAATGTGAGTCTGGTTGGGCTGGTGATATAGCTCCGTGGGAGAGTGCTTACCTAACGTGCACGAGGCTTGTACTGATTCTCCAACACTTTAGGGGTCAGGGAGAGTCCACAGAAGTTTCTACTCCCTAACTAATAACTCTATTCACAGGAAATGATCCTAAGGAAATTATTCAACAGAAATGAAAGGGATGAAGGTAATGGCTCTCATTATACAATTAATTATTAAAATCCAAATAAGGAAATAATCTAAATATTCTCTGATATTCTTCCACTGGACCCTATATACTTTGTTTTATATTGCCTATTACATTTTAATGATTTATTCAAAAACTCTCTCCCATGGACTCCATGGGTGAAGAGTTAAATTATCTAAATCCCTGGCATATAACAGACTATAGAAATTAAGAACAAATACTGAAGTATTTGTAATGTTAATAAAAATAATGTAAAGTGCATGTATACTAGGAATGAGACTATAGTCTATATTCCCATGGAAATGATTATACAAAACTGACAACAGATACAACTCACTAGAGCAGTGATGGTGAACCTTTGAGAGACCGAGTGCCCAAACTGCAACCCCAAGCCTACTTATTTATTGCAAAGTGGCAACACTGCAATTAAACCTGAATACTGAGGTTTTGGTTGAGGAAAAAAACAAGTGTTACCTGATGCCCTGCGGGTAGGGCAACTCGGTCCATGTGCCACTGTGTGAGAAGGCTGTGTGTACCCAAAGTTCACCACTACTGGACTCAAACTATCACTGGATACTTTTTGAATTCTTTTAAACATTACAAAGTTGTTTTGATACCTTGGAAGTGAAAAAGTGGGGGAAATTTGCTGTCATATACACCAAACTTGATCTCAGAATAGATGAAATGGTCACTGTGAAAACTTAAAGGGGCTCCCCAGTTCACCCCCAACACTCAGTGCTCTTTCTTTGCTCAACAGTAAAAAGACCCAAAACACTTATAGATCATATGCAGTATAGTCCATTGTCAAGTTAACAAAAAATCTCCAACAAAGGCTGTGTGCTTCAAAGACAAGGGAACAGTCCTCTAAGCAATCCTTTAGGACAGCGAATTGCTGATTCCTAACAGCAGGGGGTGCCAAAGGGATCGCTATTGTTCCCAGGAGATGGCCAAGACAAGGGCTGCAGTCACCTCGGTTAGAAGCGCTTAGGTTAGTGTAAAGCCTGAGAATGCAGGCTTTCCCTCAACCAGGGCGCTCAGCGTGTCCGTAGACCTCAAGAGACAAAAGCTACATTGCTATCTTCACCAAGTTTGATAAGTAACCTTTCCTTGAATTATAAGCAGAGGCAAGAAATCACAGTAGTATGTATTAGCACTGTCGGTGATTGTCATGAACACAAATCCCAGCTAACAACACAGCACATTACAGTTTGTACAGATTTCTCAAATACCGCTTATACTCACCACCACCTTGGAACAACAGACTTCCAGAGTGATGTTAGCACTGCAGCTGGGTCTTGTTATTTACTCTATTCATAAAGCCACATGTGTTACTACACCACGTTCAATAACGTGATGACTTGAAATATAACAGAATTCTTTTATATTCTAGTAAATTTTATTTTATGCACTTACACACACTTTTCTGAGAAGGGCTTTTATAGGCTTTACCAGACTGGCACAGGGGTAGAAAAGGTTAAGAACATCGGCTCAGTCTAAAGGCAGGCAATTGAGAGGAAAAATCAAATTTGATCTGAACACAGTTGTAGAGAAAGGTATTTTAAGTCACAAGAGAAAAGTGGCCACAGTGAACATTTTCATTTAGCTTGAATTCCTTGAAGAAGGAAAATCTACAAGTTTTGCTTTTCAGGCTCCAAGCGCGCCAATGTTTCAAGAGGCCTATTTGTAGATATGACATTCAAAGATCTACCTTATCCAATTTGCTACTGCAAAGCAGGCTGTTTGTAGTGCAGGCACAAAGGCATGAAATAACAATGCAAATGTTGTCCCCAACATCTCTCTGGAAGTAATCATTATATGTGGACTCTCCCGAGAGCAAGCACATTCATTTGATGAACAAACAAGAACAGATCTGAAATGCGAGAAGGAAAGGACAAGATACCGAGATAAATAACAAGAGTCAGTACTTACATTCGAACAAACAGCGACTCTTTGGATGTCAGACCAGGAGATGAATACTTTTCAACCAGGGCCAAAGTACTGAAGCCAAACTTATGAATGGGCTCGTTGGAATCCAGCGGGGGGAAATCAGTGTCCACCTCCCCATCATCCTCAGCAATATGAAGACAGTAGGCACTGACATTGTCACTGAAAGGAAAACCAACAAGGTGAGTGCATGTCAAGGTAGGGAGGGCACAAGGAGAACACAAGGTATTGTGTACAGTAAGTAAACTGAGGGCACTGCTGATCTGCACCCCAAGCCTGTAGGGGTTCGAACCTCCAAATCCTACTTCAACAGATAAGAGAAAACACATGGCAGAGCAAAGAAGGAAAAACAACTGAAATGGGTATGCTAACTGTTTCATTGGTTGCTTGATCTACATAGCTGTTTTTGTGGTACTGAGCATTGAACCCAGAACCTTTCCACTGAGTTGCTTCCCCAGTCCCCCTTAGTAAGACAGGTCTCACTAAGTAGCTAAGTTGCCTAGGCTGGGCTTGAACTGGTGATTCTCCTGCTTCAGCCTCCCAGAGTGCTGGGACAGGTGTGAACCACCAAGTCCAGCTCTATATAGATTATTTTTATTAAGTGCTACTGATCATAGAGATCTCTTCCAATATTTACTGAGTACCTGTTGTGGACAGGATGCAGAACATAATCCTGGAGATCAAAGTTGAGATTTAGTACCATCCCTAAAGGCACAGAAACAGTACAGTAGGGGGAAAAAAGTAAGCACTACACTAATTATAGTTAGATACAACAAAACTATAAATATAGGGAAAAACTATTTAGGGAGAGCCAGAGGCTTCTGATTAATGGGTAAGATTAAGACACTACCTTTCAGAAGGATGCAAGACAACCATGACCATCCATCAGTTTTCTTTTCTCTAAGAGCAACTAACTCACATGGCAGGATCTGACCTCGAAAATTATGGATCCTTAGCAGAATAAAAGCAACGGCCTGATTATCCTGATGCAGACACCTGGGCCTCCTGACCACTTCTGACAATTCCCACTTCCCCAGAATGCCCAGTCAGCACTCCCAGCTCTGAGGCTTTCCCAGTTTAGAATCAACACACCCCTCCTCCTCTCTCTTTTGGGGAAGTAAGAAGGTGATTTGTTAAAATAGGGTGGGAGACTATCCTAGCATATAGACAATTTAAAATTAAAAACAACTTAAGCACTTTAAGATACCCTGCTCCAAAGCTGAATTGTGAAATTGCAAATCTGCTAGCATTTAGAAACATCCCAGCTTAGGAAGCACAATCTAATAGTTCAGAAGGCAGTAGAGTTCTAAATTCTGTAGCTTAAATTTAGAGTTTTAATTACATGATTGATGCTTAAATTAATTAATTACAAAGTGTATGCTAATTGTTTAATTGGTTGCTTGATCTATAGAGATCATTTTTTGAATTAAATGAGTTGATTTACAAAGTTTATTGATTGGATGTGACAATGAATTATTTCACTGACTACCTGATTTGCAATTTTCCCAATTAATTCACAAATCTTTAGCTGCAACTCTGCTTATTGAGAGAGAGCCTACTTCAGGTGATCTATACTCAGGGAGTCTGTCATGACTAGGAGATTATTTATTATAGAAAACAGGTAACAGGGACAGATTAAAATTAATGGAAACTGTAAATTTGCTAAATGGATGGATAACAAGAAAGTAATCTGGCTATGTTTGTCACTATAAATTTCATGTATTTGCAATGCTGTTAAGAAATTTAAAATTCATCTCTGAATGGTATAGGAAACTTCTGGATCTTTGTAGCAGGGTACCAAATTGACCACAAAAAACTGCAGAAGCAAAAGAAAGTACTTCAGATGATGAAAATGTCATGGTATAGTGCTAAAAGTTTTGTGATCAGAAAGACTTGGGTTCAAATCTCAGTCTCATGGTTCATGGGCAAGTGGTTTCAGAGAATATGCTTCACTTTCAAGTTTCAATTTATATGTCTACAAAAAAGGGTATAATTACCTACTTCAGGAGTTGTAAAGATCACGTGAAATAATACATGTAGTACTTAGAATATAACAGAAATAAAAAATAGTAAAGTAACATTAATAATAAAATCAAACGGAAACTATTACAATACTTATATTGTGGATGCCTCTTAGAGCAAAAAACAACAATGAAACTGAGCAGCTCATCAGATACACTCATCTGTAACTGGAGTTAACACACGCACTGCGCTCCAGCCTTGGGGCCGCTAAGCCTCTAGGGTTTTATGGAGAGGGAAGACATTGATGGGACAAGCAACAGACAGCACAGATTATTTGTTGCCATGTAAATCAACCTGAGAAATGTCTGTGATCCCCCAGCATCACAGAAGTTCAAGGCCAAGTAATAAGTCTATTGATCAAAATAGAAAGCCAAATACTGGTATCAGAAGAATTCTGCTCTGATTGTCATGGGACGCCCTCAAATCCCCTCAAAACAAATTCAACTAATGTCACGGGCTCAGACCTGAAAGCAAAGAAAGGGCTCACTGCCAAGTGCTATTATTCTCTCTCGTTCTTAAATACAAAGTGTGAAATCCTTCATTCAAAAACATCTGTAAAGCGCCTACCTTGTGCTGCAGCCTGTCCTGGGCAATGGGAACCCAGCAAGGAAAAGAATGATTTCCCACTATATTACATAGAATAATGGAAATCTCTTCCAGATCATCAGTAAAGTTTATCAGCAAGCAGTGCACCAACCCCTTAGTTGAAAATCTGAGGAAATAGTGACTAACACTCTGTATTTAATGTGTGGACTTACTGGTTCCTTCATGTCTTTATAAAGGAATCATTAGGAGAAAAAGCTACTGCTGTATTTTGACTTGTAAAACTGGGACTCCACATTCATACTCATACAACACTACAGTATCATTGCCTATATTCATAGAGCACTCTGTGCCAGACCCTGTGCAAAGAGGTTTGGATACATCAGCTCACTGAATCTTTACATCAGCTCTGTGAGTCAGTTATTTGTACCTGTACCTTATGAATTAGAAAACCTAGGCTCAGTGGGGTTAGTAGCTTGCTCAAGATTAGGCGGCACGTAAGAGACAGAGCTGTGTGTCCCTCTGCTAAAGCTATGGGGTGTCACAACTTCCCAAGGTATCTGGGAACTCACACTCCTACGGGAATGCCACATTTGGCATTTGATGAGAAGAAAGAAATCATAACACAAGACGAAGATTTATCTGAAATAGCTTTTCTTTACAGATGGGTGTAGAGACCTAGAAAAGAACAGTAACAAAGTGTTGATTACATAATTAAACAGAGATAAATACAGTCTAGAGAATTTAAGCCTCCCTACTTTTGTTCAATAATTCTTATTTCAAACCACAAATTGGTGGCACTTTGAAATGGGAAAAAAAAGGGGACCTCTGGTCCCCATCCCAGGCATTTCCCAATACAAACGCCTAGACACAAGGAAAACAGGGCATCTTCTTATGACACTGATGAGAGGAAAGAACAAGATTTTTGTAGTCACATCTGGTTTTAATGCTGACTCGACCTCCAACCAATAAGGGACCAAATCTCTTTGAGCTCCATTTTCTTATCAGAGAATCACCTGGATCTCTAAGAACCTCTGTGTGTCCTTTTGATTGCCCATAGTCACTACTTCTGCACATCAATTGTCACCTGGCTTTTTTTCCTACTTATGCATCTACATTCTCCTAAAGTGTAAGGATTCTTCTATTGTCTCCTCATACTTACTGCAGAAAGAAACAGCCAGGGTTTATGAAGTACTTAACAAACATTTGTGAAGTGAGTAAACACATGACTGTGTAGACTGAAGCACTACAAAAACATAAAGAGTGTTATTAATGACGTATGTATGTTAATGAGGTGGGGGGCTGTAACAAGCTTTTTCTTGCTTGTCATAATGATACCTTAACCAAATGGAGTTTTCTAGGCAGAACACATGAGTCAAAGACTATAGTTCAAGAAAGGAAGAAGGCAGTACAGGAAGAGGAGAGGATAAAATGGGAATTTTTACAGTTCATCAGGGTATGAGAATTGGGGGGCCAGAGATACAACTCAGCGGCACAGCACCTGCCTGGCAAGCATGAGGTCATGAGTTCGATTCCTGGTACCAAAAAAAGAAAAAAAAAAAAAAGGATATGAGTACTGGCACTCCCACCCTTTTGGCAGTACTAGGACTGAAACCAAGGAGTGCTGAACTCCTCAGCCCTTTTACATATTTTATTTTGAGGCAGGATCTAGCTATGTTGCCCAGGATAGCCTCAAACTTGTAAAGTGAAAGAAGATTATAGCTAGGTAAAATTTATCTGTGATATACATATAAAAAGATTAGAAATAGAAGTACCAAAATGTTGCCAGGGTTATACCTACATTTTCTTTCTAATATTCTGGTATTTTCCAAATGTCCTGCATATATGTAACTTTCATTTTCTTTATAAAATATTTGTTTCCAATAAGGATAATACATGTAGAACATATATGGCTTAGAAATATGGAGAAGTACAAGCAATGGAAGAAAACCTCTCAGCCCATCACACAGAATCATTTGCCCTACAGACTGAGCTATGCCTGCCTCAGCCACATACCTAAATTTCTAAGCATTCACTGTCTCTACCAGATTCTAGAATTACAGAGGAAATGATCACACCTGCTGTGTAGAGGATGACCTAGGTGACTCTCCTTGAAAGAGGCGCACCTGCCTCCATTTTGGCTGAGCCTGACCCTATTTCATTGTACTGATGTGTACAGAGCTGGCTGGGACCCTTTCCTTCTCCCTTCAATTGCATATTGGTCTAGCTGAAGTGCTGATGGTAGTCTTTGAAGATGGCAGGCATGTTTCCATGAACCCCGTTATTCCCAAGCGTGAGCTGGGGTGAGGCGGGATGTGTGAGCCAATGCTCCATGCTGTCGGCTGATAGAAGCTATGACTTCCTGGGGCTTGAATGATTACATACCAGAGCTGAAGAACCAACCCCAAAACACTAGATACTATCTCAACTGTGTTATGCAGATTACTCTTTCTGCATATCCTGCTCTCTGCATGTGCAGAGATGATTTCAGGCCTCCTACCTACCCAGCTCGTGGCATTCACCTACTTCCCACAATTCTCACAGTCACTCATCCTCAAGCTGTTCCCTTCTTCATGAATAAATAAAATCTGGGTTCC